TGAGCCAACTGCAGGCCACTTCGTGCTCTTCGAGTTCCCAAAACTCCATTCCCACTGGCCCATTTTGAATGCCCTGAGCCACAGTTAGGCAATCCGTGTTCTTTTCGATGTGCCCATAACTCCAGGTCCTGGCCCACATTTGATTTTGAATGCCCGGAGCCAACTGTAGGCCCCTTCGTGCTCTTCGAGTTCCCAGAACTCCATTCCCGGGCCACATTTTGATGCTGATGCAGAGGCTGAGAATGGTGATGCTGATGCTGAGGCTGAGGCTGAGGCAGGCAGGCTGAGGCTGATGAGGCTGAGGCAGGCTGAGGCTGAGGCCGAGGCTGAAGGCAGGCTGAGGCATACGCTGAGGCAGGCTGAGGCTGAGGCAGGCTGAGGCTGAGGCTGAGGCTGAGGCAGGCTGATGCTGAGGCAGGCTGAGGCTGAGGCTGATGCAGGCTGAGGCTGAGGCATGCTGAGGCTGAGGCCGAGGCTGAAGGCAGACTGATGCTGAGGCTGAAGCAGGCTGAGGCTGAGGCTGAGGCAGGCTGAGGCTGAGGCTGAAGCAGGCTGATACTGAGGCAGGCTGAGGCTGAGGCAGGCTGAGGCACAGAGGCTGAGGCTGAAGGCAGACTGAGGCTGAGGGTGAAGCAGGCTGAGGCTGAGGCTGAGGCAGGCTGAGGCTGAGGCTGAGGCAGGCTGATACTGAGGCAGGCTGAGGCTGTGACTGCGACTGCCGCTGCCACTGCGACTGTCATCGCGAATGCGACTGCGACTGCGAGAACAGCAGAACTCTACAACTGGATTCTCATCTGAATCTTAAGGGGAATGCTTCCATATATGCTTCTACACATCGCTGTTAGGTTGCTTTGCCGGGATAATCCTGTAGAGCAGTAGTTTCCCTTAGATATGTTACCTAACAGCGAAGACTGATAGGTTTCTAGTGGGATCAAAAGAGAGCAGCAGATCACTCCACAGGGGGGTCCGGGCAGGTGTTGGGAGTTGCCGGGCGGCAGGTGCCGGGCTCGTTTTTCACCAACAGTCACACACTTCGTGCTCTTCGACTTCCAGAACTCCATTCCCAGGCCACATTCTCAATACTCGGATGCAACAGTCACACACTTCGTGCTCTTCGAGATCCCAGAACGCAGTCCCGGGCCACATTCTGGAGTGCCGGAATGTCAACAGGCCACACTTCGTGCTCTTCGAGTTTCCCAGAAACTCCATTCCCGGGCCCACATTCTGCAGGGCCGGATGCAACCAGTCCAACACTATTCCGTGCTCTTCGAGTTCCCAGAATTCCATTCCCGGCCACATTTGGGATGCCGTAGCCACTGTAGGCCACGTTCGGTGCTCTTCGACTTTCCCAGAACTCCATTTCCCGGGCCACTGTTTGGATGCCCTGTGGGTGGGGGGGGGGGGGGGGGGATGGAGGGGGAGTCCAACTGTAGGCCACTTCGTGGTCTTCGAGTTCCAGAACTCCATTCCCGGGCCACATGTTGGATGCCCGGATCCAACTGTAGGCCACTTCGTGGTCTTCGAGTTCCCAGAACTCCATTCCTGGGCATGATTTTGAATGCCCGGAGCCAACTGTAGGCCACTTCGTGTTCTTCTAGTTCCCAGAACTCCATTCCCAGGCCACATTTGAATGCTGAGGCAAGCTGATGCTGAGGCTGAGGCAGACTGAGGCTGAGGCAGGCTGAGGCTGAGGCCGAGGCTGAAGGCAGACTGAGGCTGAGGCTGAAGCAGGCTGAGGCTGAGGCAGAGGCAGGCTGAGGCTGAGGCTGAGGCTGAGGCTGAGGCAGGCTCATGCTGAGGCAGGCTGAGGCTGAGGCCGAGGCTGATGCAGGCTGAGGCTGAGGCAGGCTGGAGCTGAGGCCAACTGCAGCGACTGAGGCTGAGGCTGAAGCCAGGCTGAGGCGAGGCTGAGGCAGCTGAGGCTGAGCTGATGCCGGCTGAGCTAGGGCAGGCTTAGGCTGAGGCCCAGAGGCTGAAGCAGACTGAGGCTGAGGCTGAAGCAGGCTGAGGCTGAGGCTGAGGCGGCTGAGGCTGAGCTGAGGCAGGCTGATGCTGCGGCCGAGGCAGGCTGAGGCTGAGGCAGGCTTAGGCTGAGGCGAGGCTGAAGGCAGACTGAGGCTGAGGCTGAAGCAGACTGAGGCTGAGGCTGAGGCAGGCTGAGGCTGAGGCTGAGCAGGCTGATGCTGAGGCAGGCTGAGGCTGAGGCTGAGGCTGATGCAGGCTGAGGCTGAGGCAGGCTGAGGCTGAGGCCGAGGCTGAAGGCAGACTGAGGCTGAGGCTGAAGCAGGCTGAGGCAGGCTGAGGCTGAGGCTGAGGCTGAGGCTGAGGCTGAGGCAGGCTGATGCAGAGGCTGAGGCAGGCTGAGGCTGATGCTGAGGCTGAGGCAGGCTGAGGCTGAGGCAGGCTGAGGCTGAGGCCGAGGCTGAAGGCAGACTGAGGCTGAGGCTGAAGCAGGCTGAGGCTGAGGCTGAGGCAGGCTGAGGCTGAGGCTGAGGCAGGCTGAGGCTGAGGCAGGCTGAGGCTGAGGCTGAGGCTGAGGCAGGCTGAGGCTGAGGCAGGCTGAGGCTGAGGCCGAGGCTGAGGCAGACTGGCTGAGGCTGAAGCAGGCTGAGGCTGAGGCTGAGGCAGGCTGAGGCTGAGGCTGAGGCAGGCTGATGCTGAGGCAGGCTGAGGCTGAGGCTGAGGCTGATGCAGGCTGAGGCTGAGGCAGGCTGAGGCTGAGGCCGAGGCTGAAGGCAGACTGAGGCTGAGGCTGAAGCAGGCTGAGGCTGAGGCAGAGGCAGGCTGAGGCTGAGGCAGGCTGATGCTGAGGCAGGCTGAGGCTGAGGCTGAGGCTGATGCAGGCTGAGGCTGAGGCAGGCTGAGGCCGAGGCTGAAGGCAGACTGATGTTGAGGCTGAAGCAGGCTGAGGGCGAGGCTGAGGCAGGCTGAGGCTGATGCAGGCTGAGGGTGAGGCTGAGGCAGGCTGAGGCCGAGGCTGAAGGCAGACTGATGTTGAGGCTGAAGCAGGCTGAGGGCGAGGCTGAGGCAGGCTGAGGCTGAGGCAGGCTGAGGCTGAGGCTGAGGCAGGCTGAGGCTGAGGCTGTGACTGCGACTGCTGTTGCCACTGCGACTGCCATTGCGAATGCGACCGCGACTGCGAGAACAGCAGAATTCTACAACAGGATTCTTATCTGAATCTTAAGGGGAATGCTTCCAGATATGCTCCTGCACATCGCTGTTAGGTTGCTTTGCCGGGATAATTTTTTTTCTTTTCTTTTCCGCCCAAGGCAGCCGCGTTCCCCCGTCGGCCAGTCCGAGTCCCCCCCGCGCGCCCGCGGTGAGTGCGGGGCGGGGGCACTCCCCAAAGGAGCGGGAGGTTTTCGGCCGGAGCCAGGAGGACCTCGAACCTGCCGCGGGCGGGCCTTGGCGCAGAGAGCGCCCGCGCTGCCGCGGCGTGGCGAGCAGGCTCGCTCAGCCGCCGCCTGCAGGCCGCAGCCGCCGCGCTGCCCCAGCTTCCGCCGCCGCCGTCGCGGCCGTCGGCCAGGCGGCCGCCAGCGTGGCTGCCTCCGCCTCCGCCGCTGCCGCCAGCGGCCGCCGCTGCCCGCCGCTCGCGGCGCGGTCTGCCTGTCGCGGCCTGGCCTGCCCGCCAGCCGCGCCTGGGCCTGCGCCAGCTGCAGCAGGGTTCTGAGCAGCGCCCCAGGCGCAAGGCGGCCTAGCGCCAGCTGCCTCGCCCTCCTGGCGCGCGCTGCCTCCTTCTCTGCTTCCTCGGCCGCGCCCTCTCCTTCTCCGCCTCGGCGCAGCTGCGGCGGGGGTTTGGGCGTGGGGCCCGTAGGCGGGTGCGCTGTAGCCCCGTCCCACGCCCGGGAGGTGGGGCCCGCAGGCGGGTGCGCGGTAGCCCCGTCCCACCTCCCACCCCCGTTCCGCTTCTGAGGCCAGCTCGTCGCCAGCAGGCCCCTGTTCCTCTGCGTTCTTGGAGCGGGGGCCCAGGCGTGGGGCCCGCAGGCGGGTGCGCGACAGCCCCGTCCCACGCCTGGGAGGTGGGGCCCGCAGGCGGGTGCGCGGCAGCCCCGTCCCACCTCCGGCCCCCGCTCCATTCTGGGCCCCTTCCTGGCCGTCTTCGTCGCGCTGCTGCTCGTCGCGGCCGTGGTGGTGGTGGTGGTGGTGGTGGTGGTGGTGGTGGTGGTGGTGGTGGTGGTGGTGGTGGTGGTGGTGGTGGTGGCGGTGCTGGTGGTGGTGCTGATAGTGTCGGTGCTGGTGGCAGTCTTGCTGCTGGTGGCGGTGGTGGGTCGTGGTGGTGGGCCGTGCTGCTGGTGCTGGTGGCAGTTCTGCTGGCGTGGTCGTGGTGGGGTGGTGGTGGTGGTGGTGCTGGTGGCGTCGGTGCTGGTGCTGGTGGCAGTTCCGCTGCGGGTCGTTGTCGTGGTAGTCGCCGTCGTTGTGCTCGTGGTTGTGGTCGCGGTGGCGGTAGCTGCTGCGTCGCTGCTCTGTGTCGTGGTAGTGCTGGCGCGGGCTCGGGCGTTGGTGCTGCGGGCTGTCGTCGTCGCGCTGGCTGTGGTGGTGCTGCTGCTGGTCGCCGTCTTCGCGCTGCTGGTCGCCGTGGTAGTGGTTGTGCTGGTGGCGTCGTTGCTGGTTGCTGTCGTGGTGGTTCTGCTGCTGCTGCTGCTGTTGCTGCTGCTGCTGCAGGTCGTCGCTGCGCTGCCGTCGGTGGAGGTCGCAGTCGTCGTCGTGCTGCTGGTGGTGCTTTTGCTGGTAGCCGTCGCTAAGTTGGCGTTGTCGTCGCTGCTGGTGGCCGTGGTAGTGGTGGTGCTGTTTGTCGCCGTCGTAGTCGTAGTGGTGGTGGTGGTGCTGGTCGCTGTCGTGGTGGTTCTGCTGCTGCTGCTGGTCGTCGCGTCGCCGTTGGCAGGGGTCGCAGTCGTCGTCGTGCTGCTGGTAGCGCTTGTGCTGGTAGCCGTCGTAGTGGTCGTGGTGCTGGCGCTGCTGGCAGTCGGCCCCCGCTGCCCCTCGCGCGGGGGCCCGCGTCCTCAGGGGAGCGCCGACAAGAGGTCCCCTCGCCAGGGTGCTTCTGCGTCCGTGGCTAGCGTCTCGCTGGGCACGTCCTCTAGCAGGCTGGCCGCAAGGGCGTCGTGAATGGCGAAGGACAGCATGCCAGTCCACCTGTGCAGCAGCGCCGTTGTCAGCGACCCTCGGAGCGCAGCTGGCGCGCCCCTGGCCCGGGCCCGCGCCAAGACCACGAGGAACTTGTACGCTTCCTCGTCCCATCGTCCGCCCGTTTCTGCTCCAGCAGCCAAGAAGCAGCTGCGCCGGGAGCCCCCGAGCTCGGGGTAGGTGGTCGTGTTGCTGCTGCTGGTGGTCCTGCTTGTTGTTGTCGCTGTAGTTGTAGTGGCCGTCGTGGTGCTGCTGGTCGCCGTGCTGCCCCTGGTCGGCGTCGTGGTGGTGGTGATGCTGGTCGCCGTGCTGGTGGTGGGGGCGTTGCTGGTCGTAGTCGTAGTGGTTGTGGTGGTGGTGGTGGTGGTGGTGGTGGTGCTGCTGCTGCTGCTGCTGCTGTTTGTTGTTGTCGCTGTAGTTGTATTGGTTGTCGTGGTGCTGCTGGTCACCGTGCTGCTCCTGGTCGCTGTGGTGGTGGTGGTGGTGATGGTGGTGCTGGTCGCCGTGCTGGCGGGTGTGGCGCTGCTGGTCCTAGTCGTGGTAGTTGTGGTGGTGGTTCTGCTGCTGCCGCTGCTGCTGCTGCTGCGTGTTGTCGCAGTTGTGGTAGTAGTTGTCGTGGTTCTGCTGGTCGCCGTGCTGCCCCTTGTCGCCGTCGTGGTGGTGGTGGTGGTGGTGGTGCTGCTGCTGCTGCTGCTGCTGCTGTTGCTTGTTGTCGCAGTTGTGGTAGAAGTCGTCGTGTTTCTGTTGGTCGCCGTGCTGCCCCTGGTCGCCGTCGTGGTGGTGGTGCTGGTCGCCGTGCAAGTTGTGGTGGCGCTGCTGGTGGTAGTCGTAGTGGTTGTGGTGGTGGTGGTGGTGGTGCTGCTGCTGCTTCTGCTGCTGCTGCTTGTTGTCGCTGTAGTGGTAGTTGTTGTCGTGGTGCTGCTGGTCGCCGTGCTGCCCCTGGTCGCCGTCGTGGTGGTGGTGGTGCTGGTCGCCTTGCTGGCGGTGGTGGCGCTGCTGGTCGTAGGCGTGGTGGTGGCGGTTATGCTGCAGCTGCTGCCGCTGCTTGTTGTCGCAGTTGTGGTAGTGGTTGTAGTGGTTCTGCTGGTCCTCCTGCTGCGCCGGCGGGCGGGCCCCCGGGGTGGGGCCGCGCCCGTTCCACCGCATCAGAAACACGGCGGCAGTCGGCTAGGGGCCGGCGTCTCCGTGTAGCGGGCGTCCGCCAGGAGGTCGGCGAGGTGCGGCTCGTCCCCGTCGACGGCCAGGGTGTGCGGCGGCAGCTCCAGCAGCGTGGCCGCGAACGCCCTCTGGGCCGCGACCGCGGCCCAGCCTGTCCAGCGGTGTAGGTACGCCGCCCGCGCCGACGCTCGGAGTCGCTGCGGCGCGCTGCGGGCTCTGGTCCTGGCGAGCAGCCAGACGAAGGTCAGGGCCTCCTCGGACCACCTGCCGCCGACTTCCAAGCCCAGCACGACCAATCGGCATCTCCTTGACCCGATGAGCTCGGGGTAGGTCGCTTCCTTCCGGCCCCGCGCGACCGCGAGCTGGACTCCGTCCTCGTCCGCGGCTCTGGGCTGCGCGGTGCCGTCGGTGCGGACTGGCGACACCAGGGTCGCGTCAATCGCCAGCTGCGCTCCTCCCCAGAGCGGCAGGCCGATCGCGATGACCTCGATCTTGCGCCCGTCGCGGGGGTCGACGCCGTCCACGTTGAGGTCTCGCAGGAGCTGGTTCTCTGCGACTCGGCCCCCGGCCTCGCGGCAGATACGTGCAGCCGCTTTCTCCAATGGGATGGATCTCTTCTTGAGCACCCCTGCCCTTGGGCACGCCGCTCTGTGGTCACCTCTGGCGTCCAGTCTGCCTCTGCATCTGCAAGCGCTCGCTGCGAAGGGTAGATCAAATCGCAAGCGCCTGAGGAGCAGGACTCTGAATTCTGCCGGCGGGATGTGGAAGTCCCCCGTCGTGGGCAGCGCGGTGAAGGCTCGCCCCGCGCACGGCCCGCTCTGTGACCGGAGGAGGGCGCGGTCCGGTGGCGTGGAGGCGTTGAGGAGCTGCTGTCGGGCTGTGTTCTCCAAGACTCTGGCGGCCCAGAACTGCCAGCCGTGCGCCCATTCGCCGTGCTCCCGTTCGTGCGTCGGCGGTGGCCGGGCGCCCTGCGCAAGGTCGTGCCAGTTGGGCGCGGCGAAGCCGTGTGCCGAGAGGTGCTCCTTTGCCCTGTTGGCTTGTTGTAAGCACCCGGGAGCGGCCGGCAGCGGGCCCCGGTCCAGCTCGCTCAGTGCTGCGCAGATCTGGTTTGTGAGCTCGGGGCAGCGTTCGCGGAGCATCTGCGCGCAGTCTGCCCAGGAAGCCCACCAGGCCGCCGGCGCCGTCCTGGACGCGCTTCGCAAGCCGAGCCCTCCCATGCAAAGCGGCAGTTGGCAGCGTTGGCGCGCTGACGTGCCTTCTGCGACAGCTTCTTGCGGGGGTTCCAGCAAGTCGGCGAGCGCGTTGGCCAGGTTGTCGTCGTGCGCTGCGGCGAAGGCGGCCGTGTCCTCGGGAGCCAGCGCCCTCAGGAAGAAGTTGGCCCAGGGGTTGGCGCACATGCTGAGCAGGAGCCACGAGGATTGCAGGTCCCCGACGTGTGGTATCCTCGCGAGCAAGCGGCGGTGTTCTTCCAGGATGGCCTCCAGGTGTTGGGCGACGAAAGCTCCGTGGCCTATCGGGGCCCCCAGAACGACCAAGCCCTGGGCTTCCGGCGGGGTGTCTGCTCCTCCTACCCACACCCGGTCTGCTGCTGAGCCCAGCTCTCGGATGCCAAGTGGCTCCTGCCCTCCCCTGTTCCAGACTCGCGTCTTCCCCATGTTCACGCTGATGCCGCAGTGCGCTTGGAGGGCGTCCCGCACGGCGTTGAAGAGGAACCTCGCTCTGTCTGGCGTGGTGACCAAGTACACGTCGTCAAGGAAGGCGAAGATGCGCTCCCCGGGCCGGAGTATGCCTTGGACCTGTTGCAGGGCGGGGTGTTGTCCCAAGGCAAACAGGGCTGGCATGGGCGGGTCTCCTTGCTCTCCTCCTTCCGCCTGGTCGATCGCGCGCCCTTGTCCCGCGTCGTCGTGCCACCAGTACTGCGACCTTTCCCCGTAGAAGAGGCGGCAGAAGGGAAGCAGTGCGCTACCCCTGGCCAGGTTTGCTAATCCTTCGAGCATCGAGTTTCTGGACATGAGGTCGACTCCCCCGATTCCGTCTATGGAAACCACCGTGGCAGCCAGGTCACCCTGGGTGAGAGTCTGCACGAGGTGCGCCACGCATACCGTGCCTGCCCGGGTCGAGAGTGCGAACTGGAAGGGAGCCGTCGCCTGCTCGACCTCTTCGCCCACTTGCTGCGCCAGTGTGCGGGCTACCAGCCGCCTGAAGACGTCGCCAGTCACGATGCCTCGCACCCTCCCGTTGCTCTGGCGCAGCGCCGTGAGGCGGCCGAGCCGGAGGGCCTCTGCCACGGGGCAAGGGATTTCCGCCCTCGCAAGGAGCGTGGCAGCGTGGTGCAGGAGGTCGCAGCAGTGCTCGTCGTCCAGCAGCGTCTGCAAGTGTTCTCCCGTCATCCCTGAGGGGCCCGGCGCAGCGCCCCGGCGACTCCTGCGCACGTTCGTGAGGAGGCGGTCTGGTTCCAGGCTGGCGAGGCCTTGCGGCGGCGCGCGGGCGGCTCGCTCGCTGAGCTGCTCTCTCGGCTGCTGCAGGCGGCGTGCTGGGTCCCTGAGTTCGTCCAGAGTGGCCTGTGTGCCCGGTGCCACCGCGCTCGCTGTCAGCGCTTGCCGCGCCGCCGAGACCTCGCCGAGGCGGATCAGCTCGCGGGCCCTCTCGCAACGGCTGCGGAGCTCCTCGTTTTCGTCTGGCGCCCGGCCCCGTCGTGCCTCGGGCGCCCTGCTCTGCCCGTTCGCGTCTCGCTCGGGCGGCCTGCGCGGCGGGCCCGGCTGTGCTTCTGTCAGAAGCTGCGCCCAGTCTCCAGCCTCGAAGCGGGTGAACCTCTCCAGGAGATGCTCCTTGGGGATCCTTTGCTGCCCCGCCTCTCTCCGCAAGAGCAGTCGTGGGAGCAGGAGGAACAGCTTCCACCCTCTCGCTGCTCCTGTCTCGTCTGCTTCGCCCTCTCGGATCAGCTCCAAAGCTTTGCGCAAGGCGTTGCGGAGCGGCCCCCGCACGAACGCCGGCGCCCGTTGGAGGGTTGGCACGCGGGCCCGGAGCACAGATGCTGCGTCTGTCGCGTCCAGCGCCCCCCTCTCTGCCGCCGTCAAGCGAGCGCGGGCGTGGGCGGGGCGGCGCCCCAGGGGCGCCCGGGGAGGAGCAGTTCGTCCCGCGCCCCCGTCTCGGCGGGGCTGGGCCAGCGGCGCGGGCAGCGCGGGGCCAGAGTTGCTGGAGGCGCTGTGCTCAGTGTCCTCCTCGCTCTCGCTGGCGGTGCTGCTGCTCGAGCTGCCTCCTCCCCCTCCTCCCCCTCCTCTGGTGCCTCTTCCTCTTCGGCCCCCTCTAGCGCCTCGCCCTCTGCTTCCTCTGGCGCCTCTTCCTCCTCTGCCTCCTCGGCCTCTGCCTTCTCCTGGGCCCCCTTCCGCTGGCGTCGTCGCTGGGCTGCGGTCCTGCTGGCGCCGCTGGTGGCGGCCTCGGCGGGCGCGGCGCGGCTGCGGCCCACCTGGCCGGGTCGCGGAGCTCGTCTGCGCGCCGGTCGACCCCCCGCGCCAGCACGACCCCCCCGAAGAGCTCGAGCAAGAGGTCCTGGGCGAGGTTGTCGATGTAGCCAGCGCTGTCCGCCAGCGCTCTGACCACAGGCGGCAGGTGCACGTGTCCAGGGCGTGCTCCGCCCCCAGCGGCGATCACGGCATATATCGCCCCTGGGCTGGCCCCTGCGAACTCCAGCCCTTGGGCGAAGGTCTCGGCTGGCACGGGGTCCGCTTGCTGCAAGGCCTCCACTGTCGGCTGCCACCAGTCGTGCGTGAGCGGGTGCGTGCTCCATCCCGCCGCCTCCTGCTGGTCAAGCAGCCCGCCGCTGCTAACAGCAAGGGCACGTACACGCGTGAGTTGGTTCGTTCTCGTAGTGGGCCCGCCAGGGGAGGCCACCCGGCGAAGCGGCCAGGCTGCCGTTGCTCTGCGGCGGTGGGCGCCTGCTCGGGGCGCGCCAGTCGAGGATCTCCTGCGTCTGCTGTTATCGCGGGCGGCGACGGAGGGGCAGCGACCACTGGCTCCGGAAGCGGCGTGGCGGCGCAGCCCTCGCCAGGCCCCGTGCCATCTCCACGACCCTCCTGTGGCCCTGGCGGCCCTGGCGACCCACTCGATTGGCCCTGGCCGTCCGCATGGGCAGCGCGGCGGTCTCGCGCCCTGCGGCGGCGAGACGTCGCTACCCAGGGGGGCCACGTCGCAGGCGCGGCATTCCCAGCTGCCCGCCAGCCCGCGGGGCCCGCGAGAGTGCCGCCACCGCAGGGGTTGGAAATGTCGCGGGCAGACTGCGATGGCGCGCGGCGCGGGCCCTCCTGGCTGCTCAAGGGGTCCTCCTGCGCAAGGGTCCGCCTCCTCCTCACTTGGCGGGCCGGCCGCGACTCGGCAGCGTGAGCACCTGCACCCTCGGGTGGGGTAGTCTCCAGAAGCGTTCAGGGATTCCACGAAGTCCGCGAGCGCCGCCACGCCACCTGGCGAGTCCCCCCACGGGCTGTTGCAAAGGGGGCATGGCGACCTTTCGGCGCGGGATGCGTCACCTGTGTGGTGCAAGTGGGCCAGGCCCGCCCGTGTCGGCCGATGCCTCGCTGCGCGCGCTGCGTGGAAGCGGCGGGGGACATGGCCGCAAGCTGGCCACGTCACGGTGTCCCCTTCGAGCGGCGTCTGGCAGATGGCGCATTCCTCCCTGTCTGGCCGGTCTGGCCCCTGCTGTTGCTGCGGCGGCTGTCGCTGCTCCTCGGCCGCCTCGCGCCCTGCTGGCGGCAGGGAGAGGCCCGAGAAGTCCCACCGCCTTCCCTCTGGTTCAGGGGGCGCTGCCGGCCAGGCGCCGAAAATGCTGGCGAAGTGGTTCAGCTGCGGTGGCGGTGGCGGTGGTGAGGCCGACCGCGCGCCCGCTCGCGAGTCTGGCGTGGCAAACCTTTCCGGCGCCGACAGCATGTGCGGCGGCGTCTCCGCGAGCGCTGGTATCGGGGCAGACTCTCCCGATCTGCGTTCTGGCGTACCCGGCGGCTCGTCGGCCGGCCCGGGGGGGCCTGGGTGGCTGGCTTCGCCGACCCGTTGTCCGCGGTAGCCGTAGAGCGCCTCCCGCGGACTCCTCGCCAGTGCGCGCTGCTCCTGTCGTGGTGGTGGCGGTGCTTGTGCTGGCGCTGGTGCTGGTGGCGGCGCTGTCGGTCGCTGTCGCGGTGCTGCTGCTGGTCGCTGTGTTTGCGGTGGCGTTGATGTTTCTGCTGGTCGGTGTCGCAGGGTGTCGTTGTGGCGGTTGCCATGCTGCTGCTGCTGCTGCTGCTGCTGCTGCTGCTGCTGCTGCTGCTGCTGCTGCTGCTGCTGCTGGTCGTGGTAGCGGTGGTGGTGGTGGTGCTGTTGCTGCTGCTGCTGCTGCTGCTGCTGCGGCTGCTGCTGCTGCTGCTGCTGGTGGTCGTCGTGGTGGTGCCGCTGCAGCTGGTCGCAGTGGCGACGCTGCCGCTGGTGATGGTTGTCGTGGTGGTGGTGTTGCTGCTGATGTTGCTGCTTGTCGTCGTCGTTGTGCTGCTGCTCGCGGCGCCGCTGTTGGGAGTCGTGCCGCCTCTTGTGGTCGAACATGTTGTCGCGTTGCTCCTGTGGGCTTACTGCACAAGCCGGGGCGCCGCCAGGGGCCGCAGCGGAGCCGCGCGAACCCCGATGGGGAGCTGGCCCCAGGGGAGTCCTACCGTGGGAATGGGGCTCTTCCCCTGGGGGGCACGGGCTGCAGCTGACGCCAGCCCCCTCCCTCGGAAGGGGCTGGAGGGCTGGCGGCCAGACGGCTGGAATGGCCGTCTGGGGCGGCGGAGGGCCCTGCTGGCTGCCGCTGCTGCTGCTGCTTTTGCTGCTGCTTTTGCTGCTGCTTCTGCTGCTGCTGCTGCTGCTGCTGCCGGGGGGCTGCCGTCCGCAGTCGTTGGCTGCGTGCTGTGGTGCTGTGGTGGTGCTGGTCGTCACTGTGGTGCTGGTCGTTGGGTGCGTGCTGTGGCGCTGGTCGTTTGGTGCGTGCTATGTTGCTTGTCGTTGGTGTTGGTCGCTGTGGTGCTGGTCGTTGTGGTGGTTGCCCTGCTGCTGCTGCTGCTCCTGCTGCTGCTGCTGCTGCTGCTGGTGGTGGCGGTGGTGGTGGTGGTGGTGGTGCTGCTGCTGCTGCTGCTGCTGCTGCTGGTCGTCGTGGTGGTGCCGCTGCAGCTGGTCGCAATGGCGACGCTGCCGCTGGTGATGGTTGTCGTGGTGGTGGTGTTGCTGCGGATGTTGCTGCTTGTCGTCGTCGTTGTGCTGCTGCTCGCGGCGCCCTTGTTGGGAGTCGTACCGCCTCTTGTGGTCAAACATGCTGTCGCGTTGCTCCTGTGGGCTTGCTGCGCAAGCCGGGGCGCCACCGGGGGCCGCAGCGGAGCCGCGCGAACCCCGATTGGGAACTGGCCCCAGGGGAGTCCTACCGTGGGAATGGGGCTCTTCCCCTGGGGGGCACGGGCAGCAGCTGACGCCGGCCCCCTCCTTCGGAAGGGGCTGGAGGGCTGGCGGCCAGACGGCTGGAATGGCCGTCTGGGGTGGCGGAGGGCCCTGCTGGCTGCCGCTGCTGCTGCTTGTGCTGCTGCTTTTGCTGCTGCTGCTGCTGCTGCTGCTGCCAGGGGGCTGCCGTCCGCAGTCGTTGGCTGCGTGCTGTGGTGCTGTCCTCCTCCTGTCTCCGGCGGGCGGCCCCGGGGTCCCTGCCTCCCCTGCCCCGCCTGGTCCTGGGGCCCGCTTTTCCTTCAGACCTGGTGGGGGGCCGGCGGCCCCGCCCCCCAGGTGATCCAAATGAAATTGTCCACAGTTGATTTTCTCGCTTCTGTGCATGGTGCTTGTGCGGTCGATCGTCACTGTGGTGCTGGTCGATGGCTGCGTGCTGTGGCGCTGGTCGTTTGGTGCGTGCTGTGCTGCTGGTCGTTGGTGTTGGTCGCTGTGGTGCTGGTCGTTGTGGTGCTGTGTGCTGCTGCTGCTGCTGCTGCAGCTGCTGCTGCAGCTGCTGCTGCTGCTGCTGCTGCTGCTGCCGCTGCTGCTGCTGCTGTGTTGGTCGCTGTCGCGCTGGTCTGCTGGTCGTTGTCGTGGTGGTGTTGATGTTGTCGCTGTTGCTCGTCGTTCTGCTGTTGGTCGCTGTGGTGCTGGTCGGTGCGCTGGCGTTGTTGTGCGCGGCGCGGGGCCGTGGCAGGTGTGCTCCCCGAGTACCCTCGCTCGCGCCATCTCCTTGTCAGCCTGTGCCTTTATGTGCGGTCGTGGCGGTGGTTGGGCGTGACGCGGTTGCATGGTGGGCACGCCGCGCTGCTGCTCTCTCTGGTGGTGTTGTTGTGGCTGTGGCGGTTGTTGCTGCTGCTGCTGCTGCTGCGGCGGCCGTTGCGGCGTCTCCTCGGCCCCCGTGGTATGCAGCAGCTTCTGGTGAAAAGCGGCCTGCAGCCGACGCTTCTCGAACCGCTCGGTGAGAAAGCGTCGCCGCCGCTCGGAGGCCGCGCTCAACTCCATCAGAGCGCCATGCTCAGCCACCGCTGCCTCGAAACTAGCATCCTCCTGCAACCGCGCGGCTCTGCGGCGGCTTCGGCGTAGGCGCCTGCGTGCGAAGGCTGGTGCTGCAGCCCGTGGTTGCTCCTGCTGGCGCTGGTGCGTCTCCCCTGCCCTCCCCCCATCACTTCTCGCCTCGCCCTCGGCCACGTCCTCCTCAGCCTCGCTGGGTCCCGTTCTCCTCCACGGCCCTCCTGCTGCCAGCTGCCCCTCGCGCGGCTGCCGCGTGCCACTCGCAAACACCTCCTCGGCAGCCGGCCGAAAACAGAGGGGACCGAACGACTCACTTGCAAACCTCATGGGCGGCGCAGCCCTCAACTCCTGCACCCCTATTCTGGACCGGCCCGTCCCTCTCAAGCCGGCCTCCGATGAACGGCGACGTGCGCCAGCCACCTCCCATAAGCCCGGTGGTGGGCCAGGGTCTGCTGGGAGCGGTCTGCGGTGTCCTCGTGGTGCTGCTGAGGGTGCTGCTGGTTCCGTGTGCTGCGACTCGCGTGCTGCCCCTCCTTCTCCTCCTCCTCCTCCTCCTCCTCCTCCTCCTCCTCCTCCTCCTCCTCCTCCTCCTCCTCTGCCTTGGTCTCGGCGTGGCCCGCCTGTGCGAGCGCCCCCGCTCACTGACTGCGGCCTCCCCTTCCGGCGCCACCCCTCGCCTCCGGCACTCCCTGTGCCTAAGGCGTCGGCGCGCGAAGCGAAGCCCCCAAGCAGCGGCGGCGCCAGCGCGCGCAGGCCCAGCGGCTCCCCGCGGCGGCGCGCCACCCCAGGCGAAGGCGCCATCGCGCGCGGCCCCCCACGACTCCCCCCCCGGACCCCCAAGGCCTTCGTGGGGGTGCTCTTGGTCTCCTGTCTCCCTTGAGCCCCCTCGAGAGTCTCGAGAGGAAGCCCCCGCAATCGATGCGCCAATGCCGCTGTCATTCGGGGCGGGCGCCGAAGCCAAGGGTCGCGCCAGCGAGCGGCGCATCGACAATCATGCCCCTTATCGCCGTTGGCGGCAGAGGCGTCGAGCGAGGGGGCGGCGCGCGCCGATTCTCAACGAGACGTTGCCCCGAACTCAAAGAGCGAAACGCTGCGTCTCGTAGCAGGCGCGCCGCAGTTGCAAATAGAAGCGGGTGGCTCGCACGCGCGCAGCACATGCGAATCGCAGGCAAACGTGGGTCATGTCATGCTGCTTCCAAGACAGACATGCAAGTTGCAACGAACAACGCATGAATATTGCATGTCGTTCGCATGCCAAGAAGTTGGATGGTGGAGCGAAATGACCCCCCAACTTCCTCGGTGTCCTCCATTCTATGGAAATC